AATTACTGATTATATAATAAGTTACTATAGTTTATGCAAAGTTTTACTATTAAAAAAGAAATTAGAAGTTGTAGACAAACTCAAAACTTTGACAATAAGAAACAAGTTGATCAAACAGATTTATTGCAATAAAAATGTGTTCAAATAGATAGATAATTCTCTAGACACTGGCAATTGTTTTGCTGTTTATCTCATCGAATATCTAATTCAATGAATTCTTTCTGACGACATTATTTTCAACTTGAAGTTCGATGTTGAGTAAAGTATTTTTGTTCTAATTGCTATATTTCAGATCAAATTGTGACTCGAAGTTCTCATCTAGGTTATATATATAGAAATGAAGTTCATAAAAACAACTATTTAAATATCTAGATGATACCTCTGCTTTTTTGTCTTCGAATGACATTTTCAAAATTTTTTGATGAAGTTTATTTTTTCTATATATTGATAAGAGAGATTTGGAGTCAAAATTTGATATTTGTTTAGCGATAAACGAGAATTTCTTTTTTTTCGAAAATCGTCGAGTGTAAGTAAAAGAAGACACCTGTTGGATTTCAAGTGTAACATTTATAGCAAAAGTGCTTGCCTAGACATTGAACTTCAAGCTGAAGAATGATCACGATTTTATCAAACTATTTTAAAAATAAAAAAAAACGAATGATATGCCAAAATGAGTAAAATTAGACGTCTATTTGTTATCTTGAAGGACCAAATATTAACAGATTAAGATTAAAAAACGGTTCTTCATTTGAAGTTGGTAATAATGTCAAAATGTTGTATGTAATAGATCAGCAATATTTTTTACTTTAATGCAATGATTTCTTGATATAGTCATATACATATACGCTAATTTTCACTATATACCAGAGCGCTTGCTAATATATTGTGAAATACTAGATAGAAAATATCGAGGCACTTATGAAAAACTATTTTCGCGATTTTTCAAAATAAGTTTTACCTCGGTGTATTCGGGAAAAGACTAAATTCTAAATATAGTGATTAAAGTCATTCATTATCACAGATATGTAAATGTATAAACGTTTTTTCATTTTTAAAAATATTATAACCGTTATTTCCTGATTCTGTAGACAAAATTGATCGAAAAAAAAACCTTATGTTGCTAATGTTCAATTATTATAGGATTATAAAGCATGTTAAACTCCGTCTTTTGTGGATGTGAGTGCAGATATGAATCTTTTCTTAACTCACACATCTACCTTTTTGTTTTTGGAGAGAAGAATATCAGTCAAGAAGTATACATGAATAGTAATTCAAGAGTGAATAGTTATTGAACGGATAAAATTGACGAACGCCTTCTTGAAACGAGTTGGAACATTTTATCTCATAGTTCTTTTTTTCAACCCATGACTTCAAAGAAAAACTGAGTGAGAAATTCAATAAATAGCATAAAATTTTATCTGCTTTGTATCTTCAAATGTGTTGTTTTTTTATTTTTTATTTTATAAAAGTTGCTTGCACAATGCAAATGTAATTGATTAAAGAGAAGAAGATAGCATTTTTCTAAGATCTTTTATTATTTCAAATAAGGATGAAAATATATTTATTTGATGGATTTAAGTAACTCAAAAGTTCTTAGAAAATGATTTATATTTCATAAGTGTGACATACAATCAAGAATTTCGTTGATTCAATTATATTGAAATTAATGTTATCTCTTTCAAAAAAAGCTTAACTGAGAACACATGGAGAATTTCTATTGATTATATCATTTCTTAATTTTCAATCTTTCTCATTCAAGAGTGTTGTTATTTACCAAAACGGAAAAGATATTCATGAATTCAACTATTTGCTGTCAAAGTAGATGATGATCAATACACAGCATTCTTTGAATAAGAAGTTTGACATCCATATACTTGAATTGACATAATTTAATTTGTCTAAATTTTGTTCGTAATTATCATTTGAAAGAAAAACGTGAAATAACGGTAAGTTTTATTAAGTATGAGCTAAAAAGGAATTTAAACCGAAAGAAAAGAAAATATTTTATTTTGTAAAATATTTCTCGGGTGTTTGCTTATTGATGTACGTAGCATTAATGACGAACAAACTGATTTCTCTATGTCAATGACATGTTTTTCTTCTGGTGATTTCTGAGAGTTTTTAATATTCTGAAATTCTATTCTTTTAGTACTGTTTCTTTTATGACCGATACAAAAGCTTTATCTATAGTTCCAATGCTCGGTTCATAAAAACAGAAGATTCTTAAAAAACCTAACAGGTGCTCAATTTTTCAATTACGTTGACTCAAAAAACAAAATTGATAGAAAATCATTTTTGAAACTAGAAGTATAATATCGACATCTGGAATATGTTACACAATTTCTAAGTTTTCAATGCACTAGTAGACTTTTGGCAGTGTCTGATCTTATTTCGGAATAACTTAGGTATGCGTTGGCGACCGTCAATGTAGGATATTAATAAGATCAGTCAATCATACGTAATTATTCTTCTGATGTGAAACAGTTCAAAGTATATGTAGATACTGAATAGTGATCAATTAGTAGCAACATCATACATTCTATATTTATTGGCAGTTGAGTCCCGCACGTATCCCAGGTGGACAACAAGTAGAACACACAAGAGAGAGCTCTAGATTACTACGAATTTAATCTATCAAGGATGAAAATTTTTAGCATCAGGAAGCGTACATATTAGATAAATAAATGAGTAATGAATACGAAGTCAAACATATTGACTCTGAAATTTTTTTTTGATTAGTATATTTACTTTTAATGATATCTGTTATTCAAACAGTCTCTGTGGTGTAATTTTCTGTTTGTTGAAACTTATTGATGAATCTATAAAGTAGAATATTTTTGTTCATTAATTAATATATGAAGAAGAAACTTGTTTACAAGAAGAAAAAAATAATTATTAACATATAAATTAATGTTTTATTGCACTTCAAAGATATTAAAAAGCAACTAGAACAGTAGTAGACAAACTCTTTCCAAGGAGGCCTCAACTTCCTTACATGAAGTAGGTCTGAAAATTTGTGTGTGCATACTCCACCAAGAATGTATAGTTAGCATCGAAATTCCAGTGCAAAATTGTGATCTAGCACTTTCCGCTATACAATGAGTGTCCTCGAATCATAATGAAGACACTGATTATGATTAAAAAAAAGTTACTCACCGATTCAGAACTAAAACAAGGTGTAAACTAGAAAACTTCCTATCTCAAAATGTTAAGCTCACTTCTGAACTGTTTTGCGCTGATAGTGAAGAACTCTTAACGGTCAGAAATTCTCAAATTATATTCTAGTTGTCTAAATATCAAAAACAAAATATCGTTTTAATGTGAAAGTTGTGCCGCATGCTAATACCATGCACATTTTAATGAAAAATTAGGTCTTAACAAAAATAAATCTAAAGAAAAGTGGATGTTTGTGAATGTTCAGTACGAACGCAATGAACATTGGCATGCCGTTTCCATTCAAAAGAAGGTTCTTTTCCGAGACTTGTAGGCAATAATGTTTAACTACAGGCAAAGCTACTCCAAAAAGTTTGATTTCTAGTAATTAGTTAAAGTATTACTGAGCCTAACAAGTGTTTATGAACTTCAACGCGATTAATAGTGTGGAAAGACTTTTGTCCATTGTTATAAGTTGTGAAAATTTTGGACGATACAATATTATTAATTGTTTGCTTTGAGAAAAAACACATTCAACTGATACTGATTTAGCAGACATACATGATTTATCTAGCAAGTTTATTAATAGTTTGGTATGAATTAAGATTCGTAGTTGAATTGTCTTCCTACATAAAACCATCAATTTCTTCTGAAAGTTTGATGTTGGATTCAAAATGTAGAGTACAGTCAACGACAAAAGTTTAAGCGTTTTTTTTTTCAGATTTCATTTCACATTAAAATGTAGAGACCTGATTCAAATAGTGAATATAGATAGTATGAGAGACGGGCTACATTATGTATATAGGATGGGACTCTGTCCATATATATAGATTTTTCATTATTAAAATAATTTTTTTCATTTAAAAACAGATTTATGTGCTTTCCAGTTTTTCGCATATCCTAAGCAAGAGATTTGCACTAAAGTGAGAAAAAAATAGATCAATCGATAGAAAATGTCACGTTCTATCAGTTTCTGCAAATAAGTTTTGGTTGTCGAAGCTGACCCTTATCTTCAAAACCTGATTTTATTGAGAATATATTCACATTTGAATTTTTTGAAGATAAACTTCTAAAGAATACAATTTTCTTTAAAATGAGATACTTTCCAACTTTCTAGGTTCGAAATATATTCAAATATGAGCGATATATGATGGAATTTGAAGGATTTCACTTTTTTGTGTGCTTCGCCTGTTTTCAATAAAATCAGTTTTGGGAGATAAAGATTAGCATCGAGAACAAAAATGTTTTTTAGAAACTAACAGAACATGGTGAGGAAATACAAAATACTGGAAAGCGTATAAATCTATTTCAAAATAGAATGCATCTCATTGTTTTAATATTCAATCGATAATACAAATAATTTTAATTAAATAAATATATTTTTTATTGAAAAACAAAGCAGTTCATATCGTATTATTAACAATGATGAAAATAAAACCAAATGAAATTCCAGATGCTGTCAATTCAGGCCTGTTCCATTATGTGATACATTAATGAAATATGTTCACAAAAATTTTGGAAATCCAAAAGATTATTCAAGTCTTGCTTTATTACAGTAGACTGAAAAGATATTTTAGTATATTTCGAAAAACATAAAATTTTTTATTTATTTTATTAAAAGTTCTTGCAGTTATTGGTTTCGATTTGATTGTATGTGTTCTTAGTGATCGATGAGCTTTGTAAACTGTTTTAATGATTTACGAATAACATTTCAACAGTCTTAAAATTTTCTTTGTTTTTTGATACATCAGCTATATTTGACTATTATGATTATCTTGATGCGCGTATGAAGAAGGTTTTCTTTTCGAGGCAAAATTCTATAAGTTTATCTTTAATTTCTAGGTAACATGGTATCAAAAATTTCTGGCATTATTACGAAAACAAATGGGTTTTATTTAATAACAAATGAAATTGGTTTAATGAATTTTTTCATTCAACATACAAGTGTATCATTATTGATTACTGAAAATGCTGTACCCGATGTACGTGTTGATATGGAAACAATATTGAATAAACTTTTACCGAAAGATAATTCTTATAAACATTTAGATGAAGGTAAAGATTATATGCAGACACATGCAAAATGTTCATTACTCGGCTCATCAATTAATATTCCTATTACATCGAAACTCTTAGTTTTTGGTGCTTGACCAGGAACGTATTTATCTGAACATAAAAATTGCACTAGAAGTCGAAATATTGTTGTAACAATTAATGGAGAACCGAGCAAATTAAAAGGAATTCCTTTAAAAATTTATTTACTTTTTGTTGTTATTGATACGAAGAAATATGTGATAGCAATTAGGAGAACATCATACACTTTTATGTTATTCTACAACATGTCGAAATGATTTTAAATTTTATATTCTTCATCTTATATGTTTAACTGTTAAAACTGCATTAGATTAATTACTATATGTACTATGTGATGTTATAACCCCAAGTGGATATTGTTTTCAAGGTTTAAGAGATGAAAACAGGCATTTATGAAAGTTACAAGTAAAAAAAAAGCATAATACGAACTCAATCAAAATTTAATGGTCTTGTTGTCAAGTTATAGAAGATTTATGAATAGACGAAAATAAGAGTAAAGAAATTTTGAAATTATCCTTCTTTGAAAAGAACAAAGAAAAGATCAAGATGTAAAATTAACTTAAATAATATTTTTAGTATAATTCGAATTGTCTTTTATCGTAGCTAATGTGAGAAAAGTTAATAGTGCCATTGCTAACGATGAAACCTCTTCAAATGTCTCCTTCCGATTTTAATAATTTCGTGTCTATAGTTATTAAATAGAATTCTAACAAATGGTCTAAAAGGATTCAGGTTCCTATTGAGATTCGATAGTTTAGTCAAGTCTCAATAGGAACTAAAATCTTATCTATAGACAACAAGTCATTGAAATTGGAAGGGAGAAGGCAGAAGAAATATTTTCATAAGTTTAGACTGATATTATACCATCTTGTACAAATCAAAATTTCATAAATTGCCATTAAACAAACCAAGAATAAATGCAGAATTTGTTCAATATTATCTATCTATGAATATGGAATTATTCAAGGTGTCTTTTCTAATCTTTTTCATATAACAAAACTTGTTATAATTGGATTAATCCATGTTAACAATCTATGATAATAACTATTGGTGATTGTTTATCTCGTATATGTTTTCTTTGTTGTCATTCATATATTCTTATTTTTTGAAAGAATTAGCAGGAGATGTTCAGTTCTTATTTCCAGTACTTTTAAACATAAGCACAGAAAATTGATTTTAATATAAAAACAATATGGAAATGAACTGTATATTTTTTTTGAATTGGGTTGAGTCAAGAGAAACTTAAATATGAGTATTGATGACTAGAACCATAAGATAATTGTTTTAGTTTCTTTTTGACTTCTAAAATAAATTTAAAATAAAAGCATTAGCTAGTTTACAATGATGCAAATGAAAAAGGACGAAATTGATATAAGGGTGTGAATGAAACTCTTGACTTCAATTTGTGTCATTCAATGCATAATGAGGTACAAAAATTTGAATACCTTTCTAATATATGTATTACTCTTCTAATAATTCTTCCATATTCAGAGGTCCTTCCAATCTAATACAATTCACTAAAATCTCTTTTTTTCTCTCTTGACATTTCTTATTTGTCAAAATTACATTAAAATCATTAGCTAAATGAAATTCTAATCGATATCAAAACATCCACTCAAATTGCACGTTTATCCATACGGAATTTGTTGACATGTGTTGCGGAACATATCAGTTATAGTTTAATATGTGACAGATCTCATTCGCAATTTCATAGACTCATAAGAATTGGTAGAATTTTTATCAATTGAGGTCATGCTATATATGCTAAGTTACCATTTGATGTTCATCGACATTGTCTTGTTGTTGCTTATCCAGTCATAACAACAGATTCAACAGTTCATACTGGTCTTGAAGTATGAACTAAAGAATACCAATCTAAACAATCAAGTATGATTTTAATAACGTTATTTTCTACATCTGA